TATTGTATTGGCCCATTCATTGTCTATTGACAAATAGACAGAATATAAATGTCGATTATAAAGAAACCATAAAAGATATCAAGATGAATTTGGTAGCTGAACGTCTCACGAGTTGAACAAAGTTGAAATGGCGTTTCTAGCCCATGGTATGCTGGAGATAGTAGGCTTCCAACTTTGTCCCATTCATTTCCAATGGGAAAGGTTTTTTAAAAAAAGCTGAAATTATTAAAAAGTATAAATGTTACAAAACGGATGTATGCAAGCACTCATGTCCTTAAAAAGTGGAATATTTTGATACCACAATGGCCCTTTTAGGTGAAAGTATGCTGAAGAAATTAAGTGCCGAAAAATGGACGGAAGAAATCAGAATAATAATAAAGAACAGGATAACATAGTGTTGCTGCTGAAGCATCCACACAATAAAAAACAGGCGAGCATAGTGTGGATGCTTTACACCATCCACACAATTTAGATACAGTATATCACAAGGATAAAATGAGCCTCATCATTTTTACTTGGTGAATGAACATACAACACTGTTTCTGCTTTGGCACACAGCACTGATAATGATTTTTTTTTTAACAGTGTTTGTAAATCACCAGTCGCTGTAAATAAAGCCCTACAGTAAAGAATTGATATTTTTGTGTTTAGCTTAACTGTTGCTTTCTAAAAGGCTGAATCTTACTGCAACAACTGTTCACTTAACAGCAGTCTCATTTCTTGGTCAGTACATTAAATTACATAATGCTTTCCTCATACTTTTTGAACTGTTACCCTGTGAACATAGCTGACGTTTAAGGTCTTACTCCCCTGATATTCCATGGCTCCCGCCCTGTGCAAATAAAACATACATTTTTTTAAAAAGGTCCAAACAAAAGCCTGCATTGACGTAATAAGTCCAACCCAATCCTGTCATGGTGATAAGGTGGTGGCGAGCATGGAGCTGATACTAAGTAAAAGATAAGGAGGGAGTCAACTGGAGCCCTGATTACCTCAGTCAATAAAACCCACTGTGTGAGAAGCTCATGTGCATTGTGACTTAATCACCAAATCCTGCCTGGACCAACAATCTGTCCGCTTCAACAACTGCTTTTGGCTTTTAACCTCTACAGATCTAAAAAGGTCAGTACTGCTATACTCAAAAATTGTGACTTTTATACAGTACACAATGATTCTAGCTCATCTGTAGTAGTGTGGGCTGATGGTGCTGAAATTGTTTAATATCTTAAATATTAAAAGTCACAAAATTTAAAAAAAAGAGAAATATGCAGCAGCTGATCTCAATATCACACAGCCAAATCAATAACACAATTGCCATATACAGCATCAGAAATAAAAGGCAAACAGCTGCATTTACGTACACAACTATCCATAAAATTCATATATGGAACTCTAAAAGACTGCTGTAACACTAACCTGAGCTAAAGACATAAGTTGCTTTTTAAAAGACCATTCACCTAATTAGTTAGTTACTAATTAAATCATTATTTGTAGTGAAAAAAGAGAGAGAGAGAAAATCAGAGCAGAAAACTGATAAGTGTAAAATGATTGTACTGTTGGAAATGGTGCTGTGCCAATAAACTTAGCATATTAGCTATAACAGTGGAGGTAACTCCAACTACTAAGATGCCTTAATTGTCATTAGAAGAGCAAACTGTACTTTACACCCTTGTGCTTTCTGTCTCTGCAATTGTAAAGTGGTGTATTTTCTATGCAAAGCCATCAGTTAGCCTACTGAAAAGCTCCGACTTCTGTCAACAAATCATGATGAAACTCACTGGCCTGACACACACTAACGTTAAATAGCAAAGCATCGACCACTGAATCTGACAAACTGTCACCTCGCTACAGAGATGGTGAATTAACTTGTATGATTTTGTCTTGTCTCTAGTGTACAACCAGCCTCTTCCCCTGCAACTGCTCAACACTTCATCACAATGCCTCATCGCAACTGCTCTGTTGAGATTAACAACAGTTCTGGCAGCTACACTCTGGCCAACCCAAGGTTATGTGTTGCTTTAATACCTGCCTTTTTTCTGAAGGTTGTGATGGTTATTTTAAACCTGACTTAAGTATTTTCTTAAGCCAGACAGTGATACTTATCAAGACTAGTTAGCTTGACTGCATGCATGGTTGACACATTTATTTGATTATAAAAAGGCTGACACAACAAAATCCACGAAACGCAATAAGGGCCTGCCCTAGACAGGCTGATTACAGATTTTCTGTACTTATTTCAGCTAGACAGCATAATCTCCACTACTGTTACTGTGAAATTCAGTATAATCAGACTAACCATCTGACTATTGAGTCTGAATTTTGTTGAATGTATGCTAAATAAACAAAAAAGACTTGTTTCTTGACCCAAAGCCTTCTGGTCTGGTACAAATTATCACTTACTATCTTTCATGTATACAGAGAGCCCCCCGATAAAAATGAGCTCCTTGGATTGACATTTATCCCATAAATTACCCTTGGGACCTCAAGAGGTCCAGACCTCTGACAAAGTCCAGCAAATTCCCATGCCTGAAAGTAAGATATGGAAAAAAGATTTGTGTAAGACCTCTCTGATACATTGTGTCTCTATGTTCAGGGTTTTCATTGAGAGCGGCTGCTGTGAGGTCCCTCTGCCACCCATGCTAGGTCCCTGCTCTGCTGCTAGCGCACTGTTCAACAAGACCACAGGTGCTGCCACTGGAGCCATTGGCGTCTTCACCTACGACCTTTTCAATGCCGACCTGAATGATTACAGCCATGTCATGGCTGTCATGTTCTCTGTGCCCTACGATCGAAACCTGTATTCCAACTGGTTTGCTGTGGGGATCTTTGACAGAGGAAACAACTGTGACTACAGTCTTTATGATATTATGTATAATGGAAGTGAAAGCAATTTTGTGAGAACAAAGGCTGATGGGTCTTGCATCTCCTATGAAGGTGATTATGTTATTGTTAGTGCCTCCATGTCAGACTCAGGTGAAGCAGTTCTGAGGGTGGATGTCAATGACACTGTCATGTATTAATTGTAAAGAAGAAGGATAGAGATAATCACAGAAATTTTACTTACGTTTTCACGATTTCATATGTGTGACGCTTAATCGACTTACAAAGTTGGCGACTAGCTGAAATGGTGATCATGAATGCACATGATTATACAATAAATACTGCTTAGCTCACAAAACATCTGACTGTCTATGTTTATTTAATCATATTTCGCACAGTTGTCTCTGTTTTCATTGTAGTGCCTTGTTTGTCTCCCAGTAGCCTGTTTTTGTAATGGCACACCTACCCTAAACACGTTTGTGCACCTTAGTGGCTGCTGGCTTTCTCCATCAGTCATGAGCCGGATCTATAACACACAGCTTGTTGTTTTAATTCTAAATTAATTATTAAATAAAATAGTGCTAAATATTTTGAAGCTGTTAACATATGACTACATTTTTTGGTCTTAATGTTACTTTCACATTTCATCATATTGGATAAATGTCACATTGCTTCAGTCACGCTGCCTCAGTACAGTCTGAGTGTGAATTACAGTACTTCAATTTATTCCAGTTTAGTATGACATCAACATTTTGTTGTTTTTAAACAGCTAATGGTAGCCTAATAGAAATAAACAATGAAAATAATGGTTTGATGGTATTTACATGATCACATCAATTCAGTGTATTTTCAGTAGTCTATAATGTCATGTTGGAACATCATGCTGCAAAAATGTGATACAGCAGTACCTGCATTGTAAATGACTTCAGAAAACAAAACGAGCTGCTTAAAACTGCAACAAAAGTTGGAACGAAGCATCAGC